GATTTGTAACTATGTTCTTGTAACTGCTCTTATAATTATGTCTTTACATAGCAGATGGAAACAATGCATCCTCGGTGACCACAATTTGATTAGATTCCTAATTTCCACTGTTTTATTCCACAGCTAATCAAACTCAGAAGTCATATTGTTGATGAGCTACAATTTTCTCTGAATGTAGGGATTGTAGCATTTTAAATACATGTATTAATTCCATTCCTTGTGTTCATCTATATTAACCCCAACATACTTTCGAAAGTGTATTATAAGTAGAGAAAAAATGTTTTAGAAGTCCTAATATAGTGAAGACATATATCAATACAATGTCCTTTTATAGAAAGATTAAGGGTCACAAAGATATCAATTACAGTTATCCCTTGGAATCTGTGGGAGATTGGTTCCAGGACTCCCTCCCCCATATATCCCCAACCACCCATACCTAGCCATACCACCCTCCTTCTCATAGATACCCAAATCCATACACACTCAAGTCTCACAGCAGGTGCTGCAGAACTCGTGGAATCTACATGTAAGAAAAGTTCGCCCTCCAAGTACGAGGGTTTCAAATACCATGAATGTTCTATTTCCCATCCTCATTTGGTTGTGGACACATGCGGAACACACCAACTGGAAGTGCTGACTGTCTTTATTGAAAAAAAAAAAAAAATCAACATGTAAGTGGACCTGCACAGTTCAAACTCATGTTGTTCAAGGATCGAATAAACTTATACTTTTTCTATAAAAATCAATGACTTTAAATCAATTTCTAATAAGAGTTTCTATGCAATTTAATAGGATGTTTGCATATGTAACTGATTCTAATATGTATATAAAAAGGCACAGGGAAAAGAATAAGCAACACAGTCCTGAGGAAGGAGAACAATATGCAGGAGTTGCCCTATCTTATACTAAGATGCATCATAAAGCTAATCAACTCAATCTTTGGCTCTGGATTGACTGGAATAGGATAATGATTCCAGAAGCAAACGAATGCGCATGGAATAGTGCTACATAAAAGAACTTGTAATGCAGATGGATAAATGAATGATGACTTCTGCATGTTATCCTAGAATAACTGGTACTCCATATTAAAAGGCAAAAGGGAGAGTCAGAAAGATTGTATGCAGAGTGAATACTAAACAATTTTGTCGTAGGCAACTGGCAGCAAATTTTTTTAAGCAGGGGAGTGGCATGATTTGATTTTTATTTTAGAAAGAATTACTTTCCATCCTTACAGGTTGCTATTAAAGAAATGTTTTTGATAATCTGTCTCCATTTTCTGGTGAAAGAAAAATATGATCACAGATGTTGTGCTTCCTTTCAAAAAGATTGTTGATTGCTTTCAGAAAAAAAAAAATGTATTCAACTACTTGATCTCCCAGAGCTTTTCTTGCAATCATCTATTTTCTTAAAATCTGCCCCTATAGCTTGTATTTATTATATATTTACTTTGGCTACACTAAGGAGTCTCTGCAAATCTTAAGCTGTGTAGTTTAGCTTTTAATTGCAGTATTGTTTTTTAAACATTTTTTGTATTATATGATCAATATTTGCTCTAAAATATTGTGCTCTATGTAAATTACTAACTTACAGTCAATGTACTAATCAATCTGTGAAATATTTCAGAACTTATTTTGAAATGTGCTTATTTCATACAAAGCTATTTTCATACAGCATAAATTTTTAAATTGCTAGGGAAAAAATCAGCATTTCAAGAAGCATGTATAAAACATCTAACAAAAGCTAGTTCATAGTAAACAGGTAAATGTTAATTTTCTTACTTTTTCCTGCTTTATTAATTGGAAAGAACTAGATGGATTATGTAAAGTAGGACTTTAAAGTGAATTAGATACAATTTGTAGAACATGGAAGTATAAAGTATTAAACATAAAGAGGTATTTTGTAATGATAAAATACAACCTCTTCTTTCTAGAAATAACACAAATTAAGAGAACCACATCATAGAAAATATCTGTAGCTGATACATCGTTGCTGGTGTACTTACTGATAGAATCAAGAATTAAGATGTGATATAGTTTTGTTTATAAACAGCATGATAAACTTTTCTATATTCATTATATTTTAAATGTTATATATAAAGCTTTTCCTCAAATTAATACTTCTTTTAACAGAAAAATTTGCACATGTACACGAAAACCCCCCTCGTGCATATATGTTACAGATGTCCACTTTTACTTTATAGATATTACTTTCAAGAAACATGAAATAAAAGGCCATTTTACATTTTAGTTGCAGAACATTTCTTAACATTTAACTAGTGATATATCTCTAAGCAGCAATACATAATCACTCTCTCTTTGGATGATTATTCATGGATTAGACTGATATTGAATATAATCTACTAGATATAGGGCTAAATCATATATATCTTTACTTAAACTATATGGTCATTATAGAGTCATTATCAAACGATCAGTCTTGCAGAAAATCCTAATATTCAATTATTCTCTCATAATGTTCCAACTTTCATATTTAATCTTCTATAGAAATCATTAACTATAAAAAACTCTGTTCTTTAAAATCTATTTAGAATTTTATGATCTTCTAACCAATAAACCAAAAAATGGCTCTTGCTAAGATTCCTTTACACTTTTTCTAACTATATATTTGTTTTATTAAAAGAAAAATGTGGTGTTGGAATGAATCTTCATAACTTATCAAAGAACTAAATATTCTACCCATTTGTTTTATTTTGTTTATTCTATATACACATTTACATATATATGTATATATATATGCCTCATAATCCCTAGTATTCACTTTTACTAAAATATATTTTCCTATTATTCTTTTATTTTATTTAAAACTGTTCTTTGTTGCAGTAGAAAGGTATGATCATAATGAGTTCATACAATTTAGATAAATATGCTTCTATTTAGGAAGATGAAACTAAAAGACAAAATTTATTATTTAATTCTAGATAATGAAAAAATGTGTAGAATTATTATTTTACTTTAGCCCATCATTACTGGAATTAGTCTCTGTACTTATCTTTTTTCAACAAAACTATTTTGTGCATGCTAAAACCATGATTCTCATCTGATTAAGCTTTTTGATAAGGAAAGTATAAAATAAAATCTGTATACATATATTTTAATATAAAACACCACATACATGATAGAATACACTATGAAAAATATTTTCTTGACTTTTTTAAACCCAAACCTAACTGAACATAATTTTTCAAGTGCATTTAAACAAAAGCAATTATATTTTCCATAAGAGATAGTAAGTGCTTTCACTTGTTCAACAAAATCAGATATTGTACTAGGTATTTGGGATAGAATGATGAACCAAACATGCTCTCAAGTCACTTACAATTGAGTGCATGTGTGGTTTTCTATACAGATCACAAGTTACATGATGACAAAACCACTTGATTTTTAAAAATATAGTCTGTAAAAATACATATCTTAGTAAAATTAAGGAACTTTTTAGTTAGCTATTATAAATTGAGTAATATATTTCTTTCTAAAGGTTTAAAATATGTATTTCACCAATATTGGGTATATTTATATTGTAATGTTAGTCTTTGAAAATATTTTACATTCTTTCACAATTTGAACTTTAAATCAACAGATATGTGTCTCCATTGTCAATTCATTCAAATAAAATGCCCAAAGCCTTTTACGACTATTTAATGTTGTGTGAAATTTTATTTCACTTTGTTTTCAACATCATCATTGAAACTATCAGAAAACAATATCAGTCTATATCATGTAACAACTGAAAATATTAGAATGTCAAAATTGAAAGAACATTGTTATTTTTTTTAGTCTTTGAAACATCCTTCACTAATGAATTTCTTGATTAAAAACACAAACACACATGCTTTTTTATGTCTACAAAGTACAAATGTTTCCTGGCATTATTTTGAACCTTCTTATTTCTAGTTAAAAGAAAAAAATCTTTTAGGCTTAGATGATTATTTTTAGAAATTTTTCCAGGTTTGAACATTCAGCATAATGAGTATTTCTAAAGCTTCATTGAAAATTTCAAGTGAAGTTATTCCACATGGAATATGAAGTCTCTTGAAGTTTTAAAGTACGAATTCAAAAAACAGTGTTATCCTATGATGGATAGCAAAGTACAACTCACATGGTTTCATAAATAATATCTTCTATTAATTATAACAGAATAAGTAACTTGGAAGTTTTAAAAGAGAAAGAGAGATCCTGTGTGTGTATATGTATGTGGGTCACAAAAGGAGCAGCAGAAGGAAGAAAGTGAAAGAAAGGAGATATTCAAATCCATTGTTTCAGGAATATCATTAACCAACAACAATCAATCGAGTATTTATCAAGCAAAGATAACTTTTAATGATAATATAAAGCAATTAACAACTTATTTAAAAAATAAACTGTGTTTCATTAATCCCATATTCATAAATTTTAAAAATTAAATTGACAGTATTTTGATCAGATCTCAAAATTTTATTTGAAAAATTATGGCTAATTAAATTATCATTCAGAGGGCGAGAGAGAGAGAGGTTTGTTAAGAAGTTCAGATAATACAGAGTGTGGATACAAAAGGATAACAATTTCTATGCTACTCAGTAATCTTTATCATCCCTTTACAAGCTTCCTCCATCAAATTAGCAATAATAGAAATAAATCATAATTTTATACCAGCATCCTATATAAATAGCAATAGGACATCTGTAGAAAATGTTCCTAGTTCTGTTGACCTGTAACATAAAATCTAAGTAAAAGCAGTGTTGAAGATTAATCATCTAGACATCCCTGCTTTCCAATGAGATTTTATCATTAAGCCCTCAAATGCAAAGAAATCATAACACAACCACTGTAACTAGGCCAAAGAAAGTAAGTGCCCATACTTCAAATAGTCAGAAAAGAGTCACATATAAGACGTTTCAGAAAACACTATGCTAATGTTAATGATGTGAAAACCAACTAGTATGTATAACAATACCTAAACAATACCTAAAATATCTAAACTGTATTTTTCTTTTGACTCCACAGATTTCAATTGTGTTTGTTATTATGGAGATTCCTATCTAGAATTTCAGAACGTGTTTATAAATCCACAAAATAACATCGCCCTAGAATTCCAGACTTTCAGTTCCTCTGGTCTCCTGCTCTATGTCAAGCAAGACTCAAATTTAGTAGATGGATTTTTTATTCAACTATTTATTGAAAATGGTACTTTAAAGGTAAGTCGTTCCATTCATTTAAAGAAAATTTTAGAAAGTTCTTCCAATTCTTTGCAATAGTGGTTATCTTCAAAATAAAATTTAAACTAAATTGTCTAAGCTCACAACCAGGATGTTCTTGCTCTACATTCATACTTTTTTCTTGTTCAATAGTTATATATCAAACAGTATATGATTTCAATTAACATTCTTTTTTTCTTTATATTTTAAACTTTTTTCCACTTTTATGTTGACCAGTTTCCCAATTTCCCAATAATGATAATTGTTACCATTTTTATAACTTTAAAGACAGGTGTGGTTTGAGTACCACAGGGAAACATTAAGGTTTTGTCAGAGGGTCCTGAAAGGAAAACATATTTTCATAATGATACTAAGGTAATAGTACTATTATTATTTCATAATAATACTAACTGTAGTTCCCCAATCCTGCAGGTCTGCCAGTCATTGTATTTTGTCTACCATTTATTTTATGATGTGATTTAAATAAACACACTATGAATTTCCATGAAAGGGTGAGGTACACCTTATATAATAGTTTAAATAAGCCAAGTTGTACTAGCTTGGTTTTCTTTAAATGTTCATCGTTTTTAAGCAATATACAACATTTAGCACAATTTATGATATCATAAATAAATGTCAACCAGACATAGCAGAGTAGTAGAAGCAGGAATATTTTTATTCATTCATATATTTGTTTCCTCATTCAGTAAACAAATATCACCAGTCATTATGCTAGGTCCTGAGGAATCAATGGTAAACAAAACACACTTTGCCTGATGTTGCTTCTAATCACTTGCAAATGAAAATAAAAACAGGTGAAACCAGGGAAATAAAATAAAATGATGTAAAAAATAAAATACTGTAATGAATCATCAAACATCAGTCTGACCCTTTAGGAAAAAGTTTGCTGATCCCTGCCTTTACAGCATTTTTCTCAATGAAGATCAGAAATTAGTTTTATAAGAAGCAGCAAAATTAAGAGACCAAATGTAAGAAATTATAAGGCACATAAAATGTTGAACACTGGTCACAGTCAGAATGTCCCCCTGCAGCACAACTTTTTTTTTTTGCACCTTCTAATCCAACAACCGTAAATGTCTAACTCAGCTTGTTCCTCTTACCACTATGGACATCTCCAATCAGAGGTATTATGAGGAATTGTCAAAGACTTGTAGGAGTTCTGGGTGAAAACATCTGTGAAATAATGGATTATAAAGACTAATGATGAACCACTCCTTTCACTTTCAAATGGGAAAAAATAAATTCACAGTAGTAAACCAAGATATATATAGAAATTATAAAATTAATGGGTATAAAATTTCTTTCTGTTTTTATGACAAAGAAAGGATATATTTGATATATCTGTAATAATAATTACTATTATTTATTGAGTTATAATTATTTGTCAGTCTCCATCTTAAAACAATTTATTAAGAGCATGAACTTTGGAGCTAGATTATCAGAGTTCAAATCCCAGCTCTGCCACTTAGGAGCTTTGAGACCTTGCATGCACTTTGTGCTGAAGTTTACTCACTTATAAAATAAGGCTATAAAAACATAGGTACTACAGTAATAGGGTATTGGGCAGGTGGGAGGGGGGAAGGGGCAAGTATATACATACATAATGAGTGAGATGTGCACCATCTGGGGCATGGTCATGCTGGAAACTCAGACTTGTGGGGGGAGGAGGGGAAAGGGCATTTATTGAAACTGTAAAATTTGCACCCCCATAATATGCTGAAAAAAAAAAAAGAATATGAACAAGAAACACACACACACAAAAAAAACTGTTATGAAGTTTAGATTGGTAAATGAATAAATATTGTGAAGTAAATGTCATAAATGAGTAAATGCATATAGGACACAAAAATGAATATATCTGGGACATAATAATCATATATGAGGGTTAGCTGTTTTCCCTCTGCAACTTAAAAAGATCCTGCAGACAAACGGAGGCTCTCAAAGAGTTTTACTGTATTACATGTGCTCCTTTAAATCTTTTAAGGATGTTAAGTCAGGACTTTTACTTCATATATTCCAAAAATACATGTCCTTTTTATTACACATTACTGCTTCCTTTATGATTTAGAGGAAATCTCAGTATTATTCTATCATCATAATTTTAAGATTTTCCTTGTTTTGCTATGGTTTGCCATACCATGCTCCAATTTCCCCATTTATTTTAAAAGTATAATCGTAGGTAGAATACATTTACATTATGATTTTTACAATGACATATTTATGGTTGAACTTTTAGAGTGATCATAATTTAAGACCTATTCAAATTCTAAAAATGTAGAATTGTTTGTAAAAAGAGTTTTTAGGAAATTTAGAGTTCTAGGAAAGTTTAATATATCAAATTTAATTTTTGAAGAAAAAAATATGTCATTGGCTCTTTCATATACTGAGGAGATAAGTATATATGTCCATTATCTAGATTCAAATACCAATCACCCTACTTATTAGCTGTATCACAAATCACTGAGCCTCCCTGGCTGAAGGTAAATCATTTCATCTGTTTCCACCTCTGAATAATGGAGGTAAGAATAGGATGGTACCTACTTCATAGATTTTTTGTTTGTTGTTTGTTTTCCTTTCTGAGGAAGCAGTCAGTTGACACTTGCAAAGTGATTTTAAAAATCCATTACATGAAGTAATCACTTTATAGACAGTAGCTATTGTTTTATGCATATCATATAGGATCTATTTATAATAAAAGAAAAAAATAAAGTTAATACAATTGTCTATAAAATATTTTATGTATGTTTAACTTTGACAGCCCTAAAAGTAGCAGAGAATTAATAAGACTTAGTAATACCAAATAATTTTCTAATACATTTGAAAAAATTAGAAAGACCACTTCCCCTCATACACTGTTAGTACATTATCATTTTAGCTTAAAAAACTATCTTAACTAGCTAGCAGTGTAGATTTTAGCATATTAAACATAAGAAACAGCTAAATTATTTATCCACATTATAAAATGTATTAAGTGTACTTTTTGGTGAACTTGGTTGTATCCTGGACACAGTAAGAATTCAATAAGTGATCACTGACTTTTACTTCATGGCACATGGCTTGAGAGGTCTATTTAGACACATTTTATGAAACTGACTTTCCTGAGAAGTTCATGTCAGTTCCTGTTTTTGAAAATCTCAATGATATTTTAGAAACTTCTTAAAGTCAACTTGCAGTTGATAATTTTATAAAGGAAGAGAATCTTTTGCAGCGTCCAAATACCATAAAAAGTTAAGATATATAGCATTATATTATCTTTGGACTACATGTAGAGATATTTAGATACAATAAATTGAGTATAGCTGGGGGCAAGAGTTATGAAACACTATGCAACTGTTTTTTTAATGCACATGTGGATTATAGATCTCTAGTAGATATCAAAAAGCTTTAAAGCCCCTCTCTGGAAAAGAACGGCCACAATATAATCAATATGCATACAGGCATATCTTGCTAAGAAGATTAATAGCCACAGTAGCCCAGAAGAATCTGCCTTTTTCAACCATGCTCCCCAGAATACTGGAAAATAATCTAGAAGTTTATGCATGTGTGTGTATATGTATGCATATATGTGTCTATATAACACTCATATATTTATATGTTTTAATTCTAGCACTTATTAGTTGTGTACCTTTAGCTGTCACTTCTCTTTAAGTTTCAAACTGTCTCTTGAGAGCAATATAAAAAGTATTAGTAAATTATAAAGTCCAGTGAAAATATAATCTATTAATTTCATACAGAAAAATGTTTTAGGAAAAACTTTTTTTCCCTCATAGTACCACTTTTCCTGTGCTGGCAAAGCAAAATTGAGATGCATTAACACAACTATCAGAGTGGATGATGGGCAAAAATATACACTGCTTATCAGGTAAGATGTACTTATTTTTTTTCTACTTAATCTTATGAGTAGCAAAGACTATTCCTCTGGATATCGTCCTTGTCATTTTAAAATAGAGGTTATCCTGATTAGTATTCACATGTATGTTTATGTGAATTGATGTTATCAAGCTTTCCTATATATCCTAAAAATTGTACTGCGGAGAGAATGTTACAGGGGTTTTATTTTCAACACTTACATAAGCAGATTTACAAAGAAACCATGAAAGCCTCATATTATTTTCCACTTAGAGGAGTTATGAAAATCAAATAAACTAGTATTTTCTTTTGATAAAAAAGTAAAATATATTAACTGTAGAAAATTTGGAACATCCAGAAAACTATAAAGAAGACAATGAAAATGACTCATTTTAATAGATAAAATATTCCATATAGAATAATTAATGTATATTGTTAATATTTACAAAAGCTGTATTTGAAAGTGATCCTATTCCCAAATGCTTATCAATATCAAATATAAATCATTTTAACAATATAAGTAAAATTGATACTTTCCTTTTTTGATATACATTTAATGTTTTTTCATTATGCGTTTTGCTTCACTCTTTTTCATTTCTATAAGTGATGTTTTAAAACACATACCACAGCCATAACCCACCATGTAGACTAAAATAAATTATTTGGTTATGACAATAGATTATTTAGTAAAAATAATTATCTATTAGGAGTCAATAAAAAGGAAAGCAAAGAGGTCTAAACAGAGATTGGGAAATAAGAGGTTTTTAAAAGATTCTATTTTCATTATCCCAGAACTACCCAAACTCTATTGTCTAGAATATAGACTTTTACACATAATTGACCAAAATAAAGTATTATCAAATAAATTAGAGAGCACCTACATCACATCTACCTCCCCTGAATATACAAAATGCACATGAGCATTTTAAGGCCTCTGAGATGCTATTTAATAAAGTCCCACTTTCTTTGCTTAACTGAAGGCATGGACATGGGACATTTTAACATCTTTCTTTACCATTTTAGCCTATTAAGTAACTAATGTTGAGGGCAATGCACTTTGGGAAACGCCATCCTAGTCAAGGTAATAATTTCCCTGCACAGGGACCTTCACCATAGAAGGGAAGCAAGTGCATAAGCATTGGATGGAAATAAGAATCAAGTCATGAAAGGCATACTTGGGCTCCTCGATAAAACAAAAGGGCAGATTAACATGATGGAGACACAGACAGTACACCAGGAGAAGCTGTTCTGGCCTCAAACAGGTTAAAAAAAAGTCAAAAAATAAATGAAAAAACACAGTAATCATAATTACAGTGTATTAAACACAAATTATGTATTAAGTACTAATTTTATTACATATATGAATTTGTTTCTAAGAACAATTCTAATTATTACCTACATTTTTCAGAAGCAAAACTGAGAGACAGAGATATTAAATATAGAAAATGACATAGCTAGAAAGTAGCCCAATTCCAAAGCCACCCTCACTCTAAAACCAATGAATAAATTTTAAGTCATAGGTCTTATGAACCATGCTATAGAAACATAATATAATTTGATTTATGTTCTCCTACCTTAAAAGAACTGATATATGTTCAAGATAAGATAAAAATAAGAATTATAAGTGACCTGTTCAGTCAAAATACTAGCAGCTGCAAGAACAATATTAATTATCATACATTAAACTACCATGTACCAGTTGCTTGATAAATACATGACTATATCTAATAATCATAAAACTCATAATGCCTATTTTACTAGTTTGCTGGGCTTCCATAATAAAGAATTACAGACACGGTGGCTCAAACAACAGAAATTAATTTTCTCACAATTTTTGCAGCTAGAAGTCTGAGATTGAAGTGTTAGTAGCTTTGATTTCTTTTGAGGCCTTTGTCCTTGGCTTGCACATGGCCTGTGTTTTCACATCACCTTCCCTCTTTGTGTGCCTGTGTCCTGATTTCCTCTTCTTATAAAGACACCAGTAACATTGAATTAAAGCCTACTCTGATGACTTCATTTTAACTTATTACTTCTTTAAAGACCTCATCTCCAAATATAATCACAATCTTAGGTACTAGGGTGGGGGTTTGGGCCTCAACATATGAATTTTGGGTGGGACATAATTCAGTCCATGTGGTAGGCAATTTTCTCAATCACATAGCTAATCAGTAGGAGAGCTAGATTAGAATCCGGAACTCCTGCCTCTTGACCCGATAGTTTACATTTCTACTATAACATGTCCAGTCTGTATTTTAAAAGTGACAAAATACTACTTAAAATCTTTTTTAAAAGAAACATTAAATGTAAAACATCTTTAAAATCCCATGAATACTATTTTTTACCTCATCACAATGTCACTTTTAAGGATACTTAACAAAAAAAGATCACGTTCTTTTATGTTATATCACTATAATTTTTTTTTTTGCAATATACATGCACTGTTGCCTTTATTTTTTAAGTAATAGTTGATATCCTGTCCATATCTGGTTTAAATCACCTAAATTCAAAAATATTTCTTCTCAGGTTCTTGGTTTGTTTTAAGTAATAAAAAATTTATGGAAATATATTTTTCTATGATTATCATCTATAAAGAATAAGAGTAGAGCTCTATTAATTTTATTTTTCTCTATCTTTATAATATAATCCTGGGAAAAAAGGCAAAATCTTTGATTTTGAATTGAATACAATTCAAGAATGCTGTGACTATATATTTTTTTGACCATTAACATACGTTTTTAGTAAAGGTAAATGATGTACACACATTTTACTCACAACTGTACATGCTTTCATTTTGTTTTTGTGTTTGTTTTTGTTACATGACATTCTTATTCAGTATGGAAATAGGAGGATGGTCATTCCTCACATTCTCTTATAGAACTATGAAGGAAAAGGACAGTAAATTGCACTGGGCCATGATGAAGAGCTCTCTCAGAAAAAGTGAAACAAATATGCTCTATGAAAAAGTAACCGAGCTCATTATTTTTAGAACAAGGAAAGACAGGCTGCTCTGCAGAATAGCATGGTCCTTTTTAAAAAGAAATGTGTCATTTCTTAAAATAACAAAAGCAGGAAGGAAAATATGGAGTGCTTAAAATCAGGTGAAATATACAATTGGCATAATAGAGATACTAAAAGCACACATACTAAAAACTATTTTAGTGAGAAATTAGCTATAGCTAGTACTCATATTTTAATGAAAAGGAATGTGAAAATGGGACAAAGCAGTGATGTTAGGCTGCAGAGAAACAGCATACAATATTTCATGAAGTAAAATGTAAATGAGTATATATTTATACTCCATTCTTGAATACTACAGGTACAATATTTAAGCAGAAGGTACTGAGAGAGCTTAGGATAGTGGTGAATGTATTTTTCTGTCAAACACAAATATAAGGGTGTGATGTTGCACTTTATCCATATCTGTTGCTATATGTATAATAATTATACATATATATTCTACTAATTAATTATATTATATTATTAATATACCATACACTACCTATTATAAACATAATAACATGTATTATACTATAATGTATGCTATTATAATATAATTATATATTAAAACATAATTATAATAATGGAGCTTGCTTTTAATAACAATTGTATTATGGGATTTTTTTCTCTATTTAAAGTCATCATATGACATCTTCCTGTCCTTGAAGAAAGGCAAGATTTGGGATACAAAGATAAAATTAAGTTAGGTTTCTCTGACCTCCTCAACTATGGGACTTCAATATTTTTTTTAAAGTATCTACTAATTACAAATACTGCTTTGAATTAAAAAATTTCCTTTATTTGCTGTCTTATCTTTAAGCTCAGAGTTTACATCCTTGTTTGCAAGTAAATTGCAAAAACTCTGTCAGTTCTTCTAGACCTGTCTCATGGAGAATTTGTTGGTTTGGCCCTTTGATTGGGGCCAGCTCTGTACAGCTCATAGAATAGTCAGTTAGCTCCTATTTTCTGAGCTATACAGAGCCAAATAAACTAGAACAAATGAGAATGTCTTTAGTTATGCTTGAGAGAATCATTTACCAGCTACGGTTTATGTACAGTCATAAATTGGATACAGAAAATTATTGCATCAGAAATGTAATAAATTGCAGAGAGTTTTGAAAAAAGCAAAGTAATTATATGAACAATGATTGAAATTTAAGAAGACTGACAAGTCCCAATGAAATCCACACACTGACAAATATTTTCTCAAGTGATATAGAACTGGATACAAAGCCTGAATCTCATCATATTATTTCTGTTAGATGATGATAGGAGGAGGGTGTTTTTTAAGTAAATGATGTTATCAAAAGAAGAAAGGAAGAAAATAATATGAGATCATTTAGGTAGGAAATAATGAGAATCAGGCCTGAAAATGTAATGGAAATCAGTTTGTGTAGGCTATTTAATGCCACAGTGAGAACTGTGAACCACTTCACATGCAAAAGAGACATACTGGAGGATTTTTAAGTAAGAGAGCAGATAATATTATCAAAGAAGTACTCACTCTCCCTAATAGGGTATGCGAATCTACAGTGCACAACAATAGACTCTAAATTGCAGGCCTCTCCAGATCCACTCTACAGTTTCTTTCTCTCTTTTCTGGTCCTTTGGGATTGACCTGTGTGGATGATATTAACGGCCTGTATCATGGGTTGAATTGTGATCCCACAAAATTCATGTGTTGAAGTCTTAACCTCCAGTACCTTAGAATGTGACCTTACTTGGAGATAGAAGTATTATAGAGGTAATCAAGTTAAACTGAGGCCTTCATACAATATGACTGATATCCTTATAAAAAGGGAATATTAAGAAACAGAGAGAGATCCACAGAGAAGACAATGTGAAGATACAGGGAGAATACAGCCAGCTACAAGCCAAGGAGAGGTACCTGGAACAGATCCTTCCCTCATAGCCTCCACAAGGAACAAACCCTGCTGACTTCTTAATCTTAAACTTCTAAGCTGCAAAACGAGGCAATTGCCTGTATTTAAGACACTCCATTTTGGGTACTTTGTT